ACACACACACACACACACATCTACTCAATACACATACAAAAAAGTTTGGGGACCTTCACAGAGATTGAAATTGCGTTAAGCCTGCAGTTCTTGCAGATACTTTCATACGTTCGTTTGTTACGCTTGCACCGGCCAAAAATATAACAAAAAAAATTTATTATAAAAAATACAAAAAAAAACAACAAAATTTTTACCTTTTTCTTTTTTGTGTTGATTTTGAAAATCTATAATAAAATAAATAAAAAGCAAAAAGAAAGAAAGCAAATTAAAGCAACAACAAAAAAATACCTAATAAAACATGAAATTTTTTTATGCATTTCATCAAATAAATCCAAAATAAATTTCCATGTAAACGCGCGCGTGTTAAACAACAAAATTCATTTTCACATACAATTCAAACCAATAAAATATTTCTATCGGTTTTCATTCTCTTCTAGTTTCTTGTTTTAAATGCCGGACAAGTGCAAAGTATTAAGTTTTTTTTTTCAGTTCAGTTAAATGTCCCACACAACAGTAACAAAAAAAAAAGTTTTTTAAGAAAAACAAGTATTAATTTTCTTTAAAACAAATTGATAATATCATCTCATCTTTAACTTTTATAAAGAAACAACATTTCATTGCAACGGGTTGGATTGATAAACTTGCAAAAAGACAAACACTGGCAAAAGGAGTGAAAAAAAAGTTTTGAAATTAAAAGTAAAAAAAAAAAAAAATATTTCGCCACCAGAGTCAATTATTTAAACAAAAAAATAGAAACAAAATTGTTTAAGGTGGGTGTTGAAAAACTTATAATAGAGGAATTAAATATTTTTAAGAATTTTTTTTTTATTAAAAAATTAAAAGAGAAAATAAATCCATTAAAAATAATTTTCAAAACAAAAACTCTCTAAAAGAATTTAATTTAAGAATTTAATAAAACAGAAATTGAGTTAAACTTAAGGTTTTTAAAGAGTTCTAATAGTGGAATCATAAAATTTATCAGACCAAGTGAAAAAGTGATCCGCCAATAATTAGGCGTCAAATTCGTAAAAGAATAATTTAATAGAAAAAATTTGGAACATTTTTAAAACTCTAGCAGACCTTTCGTTTAGAGCGGATGGACAGACGGACGAACGGTCAGACATGCTAGATCGTTTTAGATTCTTATAAGGACCTAGGTAGTTATTTTGTTTGAAAAGAGGCTTAAGGCTATTAAAGAGTTCTAATACTGGAATCATAAAATTTATCACAACAAGTGAAAAAGTCAAGTGGAAGTGATCCGCCAATGATTAGGTGTCAAATTCGTAAAAGAATAATTTAATAGAAAAAAAATTGGAACATTTTCAAAACTCTAGCACACCTTTCGTTTAGAGCGGATGGACAGACGGACGAACGGTCAGACATGCTAGATCGTTTTAGATTCTTATAAGGACCTAGTTAGTTATTTTGTTTGAAAAGAGGATGTACAATTGAGTTAAACATAAGGCTTTTAAAGAGTTCTAATACTGGAATCATTAAATTTATCACAACAAGTGAAAAAGTCAAGTGGAAGTGATCCGCCAATGATTAAGTGTCATATTCGTAAAAAAAATAATTTAATAAAAAAAAATTTTGAATATTTTTAAGTCTCTAGCAGACCTTTCGCTTATATCCTATTATAGTGTTTTCAACAGACAGACAGACGGACGAACGGTCAGGACTTAGTTATTTTGTTTGAAAAGAGGAGGTACAATTGATTTTAACATAACATCCGCCAATGATTAGGTGTCGTATTCGTAAAAAAATAATTTAATAGAAAAAAATTTGGAATATTTTTAAACCTCTAGCAAACCTTTCGCTTAGAACCTATAGTGTTTTCAACAGACAGACGGATGGACAGACGGACGAACGGTTAGTCTTGCTAAATCGTTTTAGATTCTTATAAGGACTTAGTTAGTTATTTAGTTTGAAAAGAGGATCTACATATATAAATACTCTATCAGGACCGTTATGCTCTCATTTACCAGTAACTCAGATGGGAATCGAACTCACAACCTCCAGTTTAACAGACTATAATACTAAACACTAACCCACCGGAGGCCACACTATATAAATAAGGTCTTGGAATGTATAAACTTAAAATTCTTAAACAGTTTTTTTACTCTAGCAAATAGTTGACCTTAATTAGTGAAAAAATGGAGTGTAAGAGATCGCATAATTGTTAAGCGTCAAATTCGTGACTTTCATTAAGCGTGGAAAATTCAATAGAAATTGTTTGTTGTTTTAAATTTTCCGTTTGATTTTTGACTTTGACTTAAAGGATCTCCATCGCAAAAACGTTTAATAAAAAATTATGATATTTTTTAAAATTTTGAAAAAAGAAATAACTTGAACTTAAGGTTCTTAAAGAGTTTTAGTGCTAGAATTACTAGTGAAAAAGTAAAGTGAAAGAGATCATCCAATAGTTGAAACATCCAAATTAGAAAAAAATTGTGTAAAATTTCAAACCTTTGACAGATCTTTCGTTGAAGTCCTATAGTGTTTTTAACAGGCAGACAGACGGACAGACTTGTTAGATAATTAAAGATTCTTATAAAGGATATGAATGTGTCTACTACCGATACTACGATGTGTTATTAACATAATAAAGAAATATATCCCTTCTTTTTCTCTAAAAAAGTATTGTCTTTTTTTTAAATTTGCAAAATATTGAAAAATCTTATAAACAAAGACATTTTGTCTACAATAGGGTTTCATTATAGTGAATCAAGCTTAAATAACGACGGTCTTGTATAATCCAGTAGAAAAAAATAATTATGAGCAAGTGTTTATTCTGCAAAGAACAGTACTCTCAGTGGACATAACGATAATAAATGGGTAAAAATTAATATTAAAACAATTTAGTTGGAAAATATACAAATATAATAAGATTAATTCACAATTATAATGTAACTGGGATTCTTTAGTACTTAGTACTTTCATATGTTCAAAGTTTTTTTTATAATACAACATAAGTTAGAAAGATAAAATGATTCAAAATGACTACTATTTTCAGATTTTCGAGATATCTTATGCTAAAAATTTTAATAACTCACATTTTACACTATATCCGATAAGTTCGAATTTTTATTTTAATTTAATATCATAAACCTCTAATCTATAGAAAAAGTATATATTGTCTGGACTAGCGCCTGCTTTTTATAATCCAAGATCTATCTAATAGCAGGACAATCAATTCAAAACCAGGTCTAGTTTTTCAGATATTTTATCCTAAAGTTTGAAAAGTTCTCGTATTCACTTTTATTTTTAGTAATCGTAGCATAATCCTTTAGAGAAGTTTACTTTAATCCTCGGGTTCTTATAATCGCTTTATTTTGTTCACGATTTATAAAAGTTGTAACGTTTTGCAGACTACGAGAATATCGAGTTGTGTTTTTCGCCAGCAGTTTATTAATTCGAATAATCTTTTTATAAAGATTATTTTTGTAAAAGATTTATATTTCAAATGAAAGGCTAATGATGCAATTTTTTCGAATATCCCACTGGGAATCGCTGGCTCGAGAGAACACATGCTGTAGAGGGCAATATTTCATAATGCGAGCCGAAATATTAGGAACCTCGCATGCAATGGTGACTTCTTCTATAGCTGTGGCATTAGGGATTTAGTGAATCCTAAAGAAAAATGTCTAAAGAGTACGTAACCACTTTAGATCGTCTATCCAACTTGTTGGATGGGTTCATTGAACGAAAGCAGATAGAACATGAAGTTCGATAAAACAAATTGAATAATTTGCAAATGTTTTTGAAGCATACAACTTCTGCTGATTTAGTAACATGGACCAACGGTTCAAACTGTCAAAAAACTTCATTCATATTTGAGAAATGTCGAACATCTACTCACAAAGCTGCCATCATTGGAAATTGTTCGTTGGCATTTAAGAGGAAGAGTCCCTATAAATCAGTACTCAAATCTATATAAAACGGTGTCGAATTGTAGGCCCCTATAAATCTGTACTCAAATCGAACAAAGTCGATTGCAGTTACTTGTTTCAAATAAGTCCAAAGTGATCCATGTTCTTCTTTTTATAAAATTTTGGTTTGTTTTTCAAGCGTATGAACTTCAGGGTGTCATATCATAGTGTCCATGGACATTATGGCTGTTTTGAAAGTGTCATAATATCTATGGACCCAGTGACACTTTCAATATAGAAATACTGTAGAATATTTGATTAGAATTCCTAAAAGAGGTACTATTTTCCCGAATAAAACTGCTCGTAACTTTGTATATTTTGTTCTTGATCTAGGTATCTAGAAATCCATGAATAAAATTTGTATAAAAATTAACCCTTCGCCGTACTTGAGATCCTAAGAATTAAAACTTCGAAGCTATTTTTCGGATTGCTCCTAACTTAGCACATTATGTTCTTGATCCTCTTCAGCGTAGGGATCTAGAAATCCAACAATCATATTTCTATAAAAATTAACCCTTTGGCATACTTGAGGTCTTGAAAATTTAAACTTCGACGACATCTGTAGGACAAATTTAAAACTTTAAAAGAACACTTCTTACAATCCCTGAGACATATGTATGTACATTTGAAATTTTGTCCTATAAGGTGATGTAGTTCTTGAAAAATGTATTACTCTTTTATTTATATAGATTTGTAAGTTATTACTATACTCCTTCTAAGTAATGCAGAAGGTATGTAGTAGTCACTAAAAACTAAGTTGTTGGGTATGTCTCTATTTCTTCAAATCTAAGAAATTGTTTGAGCAATTTTTAATTTCTATAATCAAAATACCGTCGCAAAAATTTTTTTGCAAAAGTTCATATTTTTTTTTTCAAAATTAACAATTTAATTTTATTTTAAACGTGAATAAGTTTTTGAATAACTTTGATTTCTATGCAACGCTGAAGTCTTTCTTAAGTTTGAAAAGACAAAAGAAAATGTTTATTAAACAAATTTTTAATATTTTATTTATAAATTGGAAAAAAACACTTGATTAAATATACTTATTACACTATTTTCTTCTCGTTACAGATTTATTCGAAATACTGCGAAATTGTTAACTTGAAAAAACTGTAAAATTCGCCACAAAAGAAAGGTGATAGTAATTCGAAAAATAAATGCAATTACATTACGTATTTATAAAATACTAGAATTCAAAAGTTTCCCACTCAAAAGTTAAAAATACTCTTAACAAAAATTAAAACTCAACCATATTAAATAAATGTTAATTTTTTATTTAATTCAAGCAAAAACTTAACGTTAAAATTATTTAAAATAATTAAATAAACTAGAGCCCTGTTTTAATAATTTATTTTTTTAGTTCAGCAACCAGCAACAGCAAAACTTGTGCAGCAAGCAGCAACTAAATAATTTATAATTTTATTCAAAATACAACAAAATTACAAATTTTCAAACTAAAAATTTTCAACTTTCGTCAATATTAATTTTTTTGTTTTCCAAAAACATACAAGGCTCTAGTAAAAACCAAAAAAAAAACACAACATTTTTTTCTAAATCAAAAATTAAAAAAGTTTGGGATTTTATAATAAAAAAAAAACAAAATTAAACAATTTTATTAAAATCACGGAATTTTAACAACAAAAAAAAAAAAAATTATGGAAATTTTGGCGAATTCATTAACCAACCGAAGACAAATTGTATTTCAAAAGTGTATTTAAAACAAAAAGCGGTAAGTTGTTTTATTAATTCTTTTTTTCTTTCTATATATTTTTTTAGTTTAAAATATGTATTAATAAATGTCAAGTTTTTCTTTTTTATTAGTTTTATTGTTCAAGATTAAAGAACAAAAATAAATATATAAAGAAAAACTTTTTAATGAATTTTTAATTAAATACAACATTACAGTGGACGTCCAATAGTACGTATACTCTTTATTACGAATATCCAATAATACGAATGGCAAAATTGTTGCATTGTCTACTCTATAGTACGAATAAAGTCACAATTTTTCTGTTCGATAGTACGAATAACGCATTTTTTATGGGAATTTTGGTTTTATTTACGTATGAATGAAGTTTTTATTATGTTTTTATTTTATTATTTCGGTATCATTCACCTTAAGCTCAGTAATTTTGAAGTTTTTTTGTATTTATTACAAGTGTTTTGTATTTTTAAAAATCCTATACATACAATTTACTGCATGTATATTTACAAATCAACAATTATTTAGTGTTATTAATTTATTTTATTGGAATTTTGATGACCCAAGAGAAGAAATTAAATTGGATGATAACGCCAATGAGGAAAGTATTTTATTAGTTCCCGACAATAACTCTGCTGAGAACAATATTGAAGCCTCAAAAGCGCTGTTATTGAAAAAGCCGTAAAAATCATTTTACAATGTAATAAACATCGATGTTAAATGATGGATTTTTTAATAAGTAAAATGATATTTATATACATATGTATGTATGAACTGTTAATTTTGAAAGTAGTGTGACTCCACATTCCAAACAATGGGTTTAAGGATAACTATTCTAATTTTTAAGAGAAAATTATAAATTAGAGAATTGTGGTATATTCCATTCAAGTTTCTAATAAAAGTTTTATGTAATCTGAACATTTTAATACATTTTAGAACACATATGTAAATTGCAAATTGTCTTTGGCACACATCTTTTTAAAAACATTAAAATTTAAAACCTTCTACATATATCTCATTTCAACCATTGGACTCACGATACTTTCAAAATTAACAATTCATATACGTAAATATGTCCCTTTTATGCCTGTTTATGTACAAGAAATTTATTTAAAATAATACACATTTATTATATTTTGTTCCGTTATGTAATTTTTCATGAAAAATAAAACAAAAATAAATAAAATCCAATATTTTATGTGTATTATTTGAATTTAAACATACAAAATGTGTTGTTCAATAATACGAATTTTTCGGTATTACGAAAGGGCCTGACACTATATAATTCGTACTAGTGGACGTCCACTGTATATAGATTTTTATTACTGCTGCATTTTTTTCTATTCACTACACTACTCTTTTTTTTTTTAAACCATTTTCTTTGTCTTGTTTAAATTTATTATAAAATTTTGCAAAAAAAAAAAAAAGCAGAATAGAAATCCTCCGATTCCCTTGTAAATCAAGTCATTGTTTTCTGGTTCTCTACACAATTTTTCATTAATTTTAATCATATTTTTATGTGTAACTTGACTTGTTGTCTAAAAAAAAAAAAAAAAAAATTGCGTGTTAATTTCATGTGCAAAGTATTTGATTCAGTTTTTTATTTATTTTGTGTGTTTATTGTTGTTGCTGTTTTATTATTTATAACAATTTATTATAAAAAAATATATATACAATACTAATATACACATATCAGTGAGTCGTCGTCGTTTAGAATTAAATTTATACACTGAGAGAAAAAATTCAATTACATATATAAAAGAGTTTTTTCCGCGATCAGTTTAAGCAAATAGAGCTAAACTGATCGCAAAAGGGTGTTCAGAAAATTTGAATGAAAAAGGTCCCACATTTATCGAATTCCTTAGAACAAAATGTATTTGCCTTCGAAACCCAAAAAGTTTTTAAATTAACGGCCTTTATATTTTAATGGTTTTCAGTAACGCTGTTGTTGTTTGATCCACCATGAAGTCCAAAGTTGTTGGTTACTCGTCTAAGGAACCATTAGATAGGCTCTATACCGAAAAGTAATACTAGAAGATTTCCATTTAGTCATAAACTTTTAATCCGACGAAAATTCATAAAAATCCTAGGCAGATTCTTTGAAATTCTCATTATATTATTACACTCTTTCAAATTCTTTTAAGGCGGTTACTTACTTGGATTATTTTTTATGTAAATCTATTCAAAACTCTACAATTTTTTGGTACGACACGAATATTTTAATCTCTATTTGCCTCCATATACCTTTTAGTGCCTATACCTTTTAGTGTAAAAATTAAATCAAATCTCTTGAGCATATACTAAACTGTAAATGTCTATATTCAGACTTAAAAGACTTGCAAGGCAACCAACGATTTTCCCTTCTATAGAGCTCTCTTCGCAGGTCATATACACTAGTAGAACTTGGAAATTAGGAGAAAGCAAAAAAAGTTTCACGATCATAAAGGAACTTGTTGTGTTTTATTTGCATAATGTCAGACAGCCAAGCAGCGCTCAAGGCCTTACTCTCGTATGAAGTTAGGTCGGGTGTTGTTATGGACTGTGTGATATCACTGAGCAAACTGGGTAAACATAACAAATTAATATTATGTTGGATACCCGGCCATGAAGATCATCAACGAACGGGCAGATTGCTTAGCAAATAGAGGAGCTCACTTATCGGCCCTGAACCATTCATTGGTATCCCACAAGGATACGTCAGACAAAGATGCGAATCGTGGGCCGAATCGGAATTTCCTCGCCATTGAAAAGCTACAACAGAGCTTAGACAGCCAAAACGCTTAATTACGCTATCAAGGGGAAATATAATGGGACTACTCACGGGACACTGTGGTCTCAGATATCATCAATTCATTCCAGGAAACGCCATATCAAAGCTATGTAGATTTTGTGGCTGTCAGGAGGACTGTGTGACATCACTGAAGGTACTGGGTAAACATTAACGAATTAATATTATGTTGGATACCCAGCCATGAAGATCATCAACGAACGGGCAGATTTCTTAGCAAATAGAGGCGCTTAACGCCCATCTTATCGGCTTTGAACCATTCATTGGTATCCGACAAGGATACGTCAGATAAAAATGCGAATCGACCCACGAATCAGAATTTGCTCGCCAAATTGTCATCAAGGGGAAATCCCAAAAGGTGCTATCGTTTAAAAAAAGTCATCTCAGAATACTAATGGGACTACTCACGGGACACTGTGGTCTCAGATACCATCAATTCATTGCAAGAAACGCCATATTGAAGCTATGCATATTTTGCGGCTATCAGGAGAAAACCTCTGAACACATATTGTGCAATTTTTCAACACAGAAAGAATCTTAGTTGCTGCATCACTAGCCCCCAAAGATATATTCAAACTCTCACCAATCAAACTCGTAATTTTCATACGTGAATTAAACCTGTTATGGTGAATCCACGGGCTGCACAAAAGATCTAAAATAAGATAGCAGTGTCTCTCTCTCTTTTCCATCATTAGCAGTCATTCGTTTTTAAGGCAACCATTATTTTGGATCCGCAGCTTTTACGATCTTGTGCCGGATAAATGTTATAGAAATAAATTAATAGATCAGGAATAAAAATCTATGATTTGGGCTTATGTTTTGAAAGGATGGCGTGTATATTGGAAGAAATACACTTAGACCGCTAGTGGCCCAGTTTTGCGCTCCTTTTCATTAAACATTTTTTGTCGAAAGGCCTTTTGTAGTAATCTATGAAACGAGTTTGTCGTTCGATGTTCAGAAACCTATTTCCAATCACTGTTCCTGAGAGATATATCATTTGTATTGTGCTAATTTGAACAGATTCGTCCATTAATTTGGATCCGCAGCAACTCTTATATGATCTTGTGCTGGATAAATGTTATAGAAATAAATGCATAGAGCAGGAATATAAATGTGTGATTTTGAAATGATTTAAAGCATTGCCGACCAAGAATATAGCTTAGATTTTGAACGGATTATGCATCAGAATGGTAGAAATACACTTAGACCGCTAACGGCCTTGTTGTACGCTTCTTTTCATTAAACATTTTTTGTCGAAAGGACTTACCTTTTGAGGGATGTAATTTTTGGTATAATTATTTTCAAGATATTTGGATCCAATTTCGACGAGAAAAGATTTCACACGTTTCACTGTTTTCTTTGCAAGCTCTTCATTTGTCTAAATCGGCTCCGATTGCAGTGTCTTGACTAAAGTGGTACTGTTGGAACCCAAAATTTGCATATTGTTTTTTTTTTTGATATTTCTCGAATAGAAGTGCAATTGCCTTAGCAATACTTTTACAAATGTCATTTAATTATCGAAAAATGCAGGCTTCTAGAACTTCTACGAGCGAACGTGCGATTCAAGCCCTTTACACTTGAGTTTACTTGCAATCGCTGGTCTATGTCAATTAGCAAAGAACTTTAGAGGAGCTTCAGGCTATCTTATTTGAAAATCCGACTATTCTGGCCAATTTGTGAATTCAAGACATGTAAAATTGGATATAGCGTGTTATTTTACGTCATCGCTTCCACCATTTCATTGTTCTTAATGAAAAGACATTGTACTTGTGCAGAGTGATAACTTCACTGATCACAGTTGCATTTTATCGTTCACTTAAGTGCTGTCTAAATCAAAATTCTATTGAACTTCCTTATTCCACAAATGCTCATCTATCATTATCAACAAATCTCTCCGTGATCTGCTCCATTATAAACAGACAATTATGTTTTCCTTAAAAAAAATCTTTAACAACTTTTAACAAGTTAAGTTTGTTAAACTAATGATTTAAAATAAATTTTAAATAAAATAAACATGTCTGTATGTTACTACAAAAAATTTGTTCGTACAAGTAAGAAAATTTATTTTATTTAAAAATTACAAAATTATACATATTTTATTAAGAACATTGTCTTTTGGCTGTAGGTTTTTGTTCCACCCAATCTATATACAATAAAAAAAAAATATTATACTCGTAACTAGATTTCTTACTTAAGACAAGACGATTAAAATGTAAAAATAGAAAAGTTGGCCATAACA